TAGAAACAAAGTCTTTGTAAATAGGGAAGGGTGGAGGGGGTGAAGGGAGGGCAAGGGAATGGGGAAAAAAATAAGAACCAAGATACATCATGTAAAGATACAAGATCCCAATGATGAACGTAACTGTATTGTATACCTAAAATTTACCAATAAACTTAATGGGGGACAGAAAAAATATGCCTAGAGGACCAAGAGACGAAGGGAGGGTAAAAGGATGTAAAAGGAATTAAGATGTGTTATATACATGTACCAACTCCCCAGAGAGATGTCCACAGAAAGGAAATGAATAACTGCAGAAGAATGCAAAATATATGGTAGAATAGATTCAACTCTTCTATTTTAATAGGCTATTACTACCTTGAATAGAGACCTATAATTTAGGTCACTGTCTGAGATTTATAAATCTTTTATACTGATGGAAAATGGACCAATCTACTTCTGATTGCTATGAAAATAGAACAGAGGGCTAGGATTATAGCCAAGCAGTAGAGCAATCACCTACATGTGCAAGCCCCTGGATTTGATCCTCAGCATCACCAAAACAAAATAAGAAAAGAGAGGCTATGAAAAATAGAGAATGTCAACATTAATTTGTCTTCATAATAAGAGGAAAAATAATACAAAGATACACTAACTCCCTTCACACTCTACTCAGCCTAGGACCTAGCTGAGGGATGAAAAAAAGAACTCATAAATCATTATACCGAATCTAATCACAGAAGATACATATTTGATCAGAAATTGAGATTATTTACATATTTTACCAGGAGGAACACTGCTTAGAAGAAAAAAATTTGAGTTTTGGAGTCAAATAGACCCAAGTTTGAATTCCAGCTCCAAGATTTACTAGCTAAATGAATTCTGCAAGTTACTTAGTTTTTCTGAGCCTCTGTTTCATTATCTGTACAAGGAGAAGAATTATACCTTCTATGTTATAGGCTGTAAAAAGATTAAGTGGCTAATATATGGCAACACTCAGGAACTTTTATTCGGTTTCTCCTTCTTTCCCAGGAATAGACCCAGCTGAACAAGTTTGTTTAGAATATTAAAGATACATGTTCCACAGTTCTGAATCACCTTTGAAAAACAGAAAATACTTGTTACAGTTTTAGAACTAGAAGGAGTCTTGGAAAAATATCTAATCCAGCATCGGGAATTTAGCTCAGTGGTGCCTATGCCTACCTCCAAGCACAAGGTCCCAAATTCGATCCCCAGTACCAAAAAAATCTAATCCAATGCTGTCATATTACTGAAAGAGAAGTCATTTTAGAGCTTAAGTGACATAGCAAAGTCACCAAGCTACCTAGACGAGTCCCAAAAATACCGGTTTCCTGATTCTGGGCCCAATATTCTTTCCACAGTCTTACACAGCTGTTCCTAAGCAAGACAGTTACATTTCTTTCTCCCCTCTGCTTAGAATTCATCAAATCCATAAGCTACTGCCAAATGTAAGTTTTAGGAAACTATTTACCTTTTATTCCTCGCTCCGCTTTCATTAAACGCCTGATTATAGAATCACAGTTATCCCCTTGCCTGATTTCAATTTTGGTTGAGAAGTGACCACTGGATGGCTGGGGATTTACTAGAGAAACTGGCACACCAGGCTAGGAAGATGAAGAGTAAAGCATTGTTATAGAAAATTAAAGCTGACTACTGCCAAGGGATGGAATAATCTCTGCTACATTTTTAATACCCAGTGAAAGCCAGAGCTAATCTGCTATTCTAAAATCATGAGCAAGACATATTCAAATATGAAAGAAATGCCATCAAGCTAATGCTTATAACTAGATGCCTAGATAAAAACGACTGCAACTCCATTTATCAATAATTACAGACAATAACAATAATTAATTTTCTCCTCCATAACTACCACCATTTCTCTATCACAACTCCTCCACTTAACATGAAATTCTCAGATCTAAGCCTACCTTCCACATTATAGAAAGTACTTTTTGCCAAATGCTGCCAATCTGACTGGATTCTTTGAGGCTAAATAGAATCTCTAAAACCTCCAAAACCATTTAATCTTGCTGCATCAGTCCATTTTACACCAAAAACCAAACAGCCTTGAATAACAAAGACTCATCTGAAGTTTGAAAGTTCCTTTTCACTGCTTAAGTTTTACAATTCAATTCCTACTGTATTTTTTAAATAAAAAGTTCTGAAAATCACATTTTTTACAAAAACTTACTTAATATCTGATACCATCGATAAGAGTAAAGTAAGGAGAAGTTGAATCTTGCAACAAACAGAGAATACGATACCTTAAGTCCATCCCATCCCATTTTTAACCATAGCCTGGAACAAAACATTCATTTAATTTCTCTGTATTTCCTTCCATCTTTTGAACGATGGATTTAGTTGTAATGATCTCTAAGGTCTTCTCTAGCTCAAAAATGCACTGATTTAGTAAGATTTCTTCAACTTACTTCCGTTCTAAAAACATTAAGTGGTTTCCCAGGACAACAGTCTTCCCTGACTTTATCTTCTGCTTCAGAGGCAAACTTGACTTCTATGTGTTCTAGCTAAATAGAGGGGAAAAAATGGAAGTCATTAGTGTCGCTTAATAAGATTGAAATTAATCACCACCTCATTTCATCAAGAGCCAAACTAGGCTCTCCACTTAACATGAAATGGTCTGTGCAATCTTATTATTTTCCATATAAACACTGAATGAAATCTGTAATCAGTTATTTAACACTCATCTTAGATGTCTCACAGTATTGTTATTTAGTCACATTTATCATTTTCTATAATGAAATCTATGTCTGCCACATAAGAGAAAAAGTAAATCAGCATAAAAGGCTTCCACTTAGAAAATCAGAAGTTTCAGAGATTTATCATTTGAGAAGGCTTCTATTTAAATAAATGGAAGAAAAGCTCAGAAATGTAGCATACTGCATAGCCCCAAATAAAAGATAACCCTAAATATAAGGTGTATCCCCACTTGTTCAAATGAAACAATCCAAGAAGAGTTTTCTGGCTTATATGAAAATATATGACCATTTAGATACATACATATATATATGTATATATATATTTATTTTAAAGATAACTACTAATATTTAACTTCAGTATTAACTCATTTTCAAAAAATGCTCAGGGGCTGGGGGCAGAGCTCAATGGTACAGCACATGCTTAGCTAACACAAGGTCCCAGGTCAACTCTCAGGATCAAAGAATTACTAATCAAATAAATGCTCACATAGAAATAATTTTCTTCTTTCTCTGTATTTTATGAAACAATTTTATTCAAACTCTAAACTTGCTGTTTTAAATTTTAAGTATCTTTATTTTAATTACCAGAATCATTTCTTTTTTGAGTCCTCTAACAGTTTTCTAGAGCAAATTACTTTTCCTTCTCCCTACATTGTCTGACAGAAAGCATTCTTAGACTCTACACCAAAGTTGTGATTGATGATACATCATGAACCACAGATTATAACTAATTCAATTCTGTGAATCAGAGGTTTGAAAGGGAAGAAGAGGGCAAGAAACTCACAGGTTCTGTAATATGAAAGATTCTGTGGGGCGGGGGATCTAGCTCAGTGGTTTCGTCACCTGCTACGCAAGTGCAAGAACCCGGGTTCAATCCCCAGTACCCAAAAAAAAAAAAAAAATTGGGGGGATATTTAAATATAACACCTCTCTTGACAATTTAGAGAGAATACCTAGATAGTACAGTTTTTTTATGTATAGAATAACTGATAAATGAAATAAGATGACAGATTATTTTTTTCTTTCTGTAACTTTTATACCCACTTATTCTTTTTCATTTCAAAAATATTTTTGACTGATGCATTTGGCAACAGTACTAAGTATACAAGATGAAGTTTATAAAAAGGCTTATTATAAAAGAACTGGCATATGGCTTACTACAGCTGAACAGTAATTACAATCCCTGGTCTTCTTACCTCAAGGGAATTAGTCAGGTAGACTGTATTTTCCATAAGCACTGCCTGTTCATCAAATTCCAACTGCAAATCCAGAACACGTGGCCCCATCTTCTCCACATTTTCCTAATAGTCAAAATAGTTTTGAAATACAAAATCATATTAAAAATATGTTGAAGAGCCAAGGATTTAGCTCAGTGGCAGCACAACTGCTTCCGCAAGCACAAGGTCCTGAGTTCAATCCCCAGTACCAAAAAAAAAATGTTGAAAAGAGCCAGTACAAAGTGACCCACATCGTAATCCCAGCTATTCTGGAGGCTAAGACAAGATGATCGAAGGTTTAAGGACAGCCTGGGCGGTTCAGCAAGACTGTCCCAGAATAAGAAATAGAAAGGGTTTGGGATATAGCTCTATGGTAGAATGCCCTTGGGTTCAATCCCTAGTACTACAAATAATATGTAGAAAAGAATATATTTCCTCCAAACCAACCATTCTTCTCTCAATTGATAAAAATTTTTAAATTTCAATAGTTAAAAGAAGGGCCTTGGATTCATTTCCCTTATTTAAGGTTGCTTGTTAATGAAATTACTAGCTCAGAATAATTATCATTTAAAGTAAGATTAATGGCAGCACTGAAAAGACTGGAAGGCACAAGGTAAATATGGTTTATCATTCTTTTTTTTTTTCTTTGGTACCGGGGATTGATCTCAGAACCTCGTGCTTGCAAGGCAGGCGCATTGCCACTGAGCTAAATCCCCGGCCCTGGTTTATCATTCTTTATTTAAACTGTCTTCATATACAAACCCAAAGGATTTACTTTGACAAAGAATCAAATGTTAAGAAAATATCCTGTCAGGTAAATTTTTTAAAGTACTTTTAAAATTTTCCAAGATACCAAATGAATAATTTCCAAAGATACCCAGGGTAGCAATGGGAGTCTGAAGATACCCGACACAGCCTGCCCTGGCCAGGGTCCAGATACAGCCCCTCTTTGACACCCGCAAGCTGGCTGTCCTTCAACCTCTTAACCCAGAAACCAGAGGCACTGCAAGGCCTACAGTATGCTTCAAAGGCTTGCTCTGCCACCCCACAGGAATCCTGATGCCTGTCTCTGCCACTTCTCGCTGCAAGCCTGTCCCCCCACCTGTACTCTGGACCTTACCTCTTGCTTACAAAGCAAATCCAGACCAGGTCCAGCCTTGAGGAACCATCCCCAGGCCTAAACCCCTTCCATGTTTATCATTTCTTGGGTACCCTTCCTCATCCAGAGTGCCAAATAGCATTTCCTTGTATCTTATCAGTACTCTTTTATCAGTTAGTGATTTTTTTATATTAAGCTTCTCCTGGTTAAACTGTGAGTTCAGCCAGATATAGTGTGGTACATGTCTGTAATCCCACCACTCTGGGAGGCTGAGGCAGGAGGATCTCAAGGTCAAGCACAGCCTGGGGAACTTAGCAAGACTTTGTCTCAAAATGAAAAATAAAAAGGCCGGGGATGCAGCTCTGTGTGAAGGACCTGGGTTCAATCCTCAGTATCAGGAAAACAAGAAACAGTCATACTACACAGTTACTCAGATGATCTTACAGCATACAAAAAATAATTTCTTATTCTTTATTTTCCTGAACATTAAATATTTGCTACTCAAAATGTAATATTAGCAATACAAGTTCATAAACACAGATCTATAGTCTAGAACACACTGCACTCATATGAAAGTAATTATCTACTGCTTACTTTTGTTTGCCATCTGCTATGGATTAATATCCTTTATCTCAAGAGTGAGTTAGTTATTATAGAAGTGAGCTCCTGATAAAAAGATGGATTCGACTGATTTCTCTCTCTCTGTATCCCAAGTGCCTTTCTACCCCACTTGCCTTTCTACCATGTTTCGACAGCAAAAGAGCCCTCATGAGACGCTGGTGCCATGCTTTTGACTTCCCTGCCTCTAGAATCAAAAACCAAATAAACTTCCATCATTTATAAATTACTCAGACTTAGGCTGGGTATGTAGCTCAGAGGCAGACCGCCTGCCTAGGCCCTGGGTTCAATGCCCAGAACCATGAAAAGAAAAAAAATAATAATTACCCAGTCAGTAGTAGTCCATTATAGCAGCAGAAAATGGACTAAGACACCATCTAAATTGTTTCTCAACCCATGAAAAGGACTTAAAAAGCCATTTTCTTATTCTCAGACTAATCATTTTCAAAGTTTAAAAACAAGTAAATTCCCTGGAAAATTACAAAAATTATTAAAAATATATATTACCACTCAACAATCTGACAGGGGTTCTTCAAATTTAAATGAAATCCTAAAGAAGCCAACTCTTGTACAACGAAGAACTATCTAGGGCCAAAATATCAACAGAGCCATTGTTGAGAAACCCTGGCCTAAGCTCTATAAACAACATTTATCCTGTTAAGTAAGCTAAGCCTATCCAAATGTAGAATCTTGGTTCCAGTGATCTTTAATGTAAGCCAAAATACTATGCTTCCTCCCCAAATTGAAGAGAATGTAGAACATGAAAAGCATAATTAAACAAAGCAATTCTAAATCCATTTTTCTACCACAATACATATTTTCACATATTCATCAATTCCATGTGTAAACCCAAAATCTCATTTCTTACAACCACTGACTGAAAGATGTTGTTTTAGCAGATTTCTAGGGGTTGACCATACCCAAGGCTTTTCCCCTTCTCTCTACTGTCCTATCTAACCATTACTTGTGTAATCACAGCTGAACAAAACCCACTGCTTACCTTAACCATAGCAACAAATGGCATCACTTTCTTCATATATTTCTTCAATTCTGGCATATTACCTAGTTCACTAGCAATGACTTTGTTATCAGGCAATCTTCCACTGTTGGCCTAAAAATAGGCAAGGGGAAAGAAATGTGGAGAAAAATATTTTAAAGATAACCCAGGATTGCAGATGTACCTTTAGGAAGTCAGTCACACACAGAACAGTGACCTATACCAGACTGTGGTACAGCCTCTAGCGTCACAGGGAGTGAAAGGTGAATGAACAATGGAACAATGGAACAACATAAAAGGGAATCCTCCATCTCTCTAAATTTAGAAGATAAGCGCTTTTTAGATTAAAGGAGAAAAATGAGAGCATTGCACTAAATATTTACGTTTTCCTTATAATAAAAGTCTCTGGGACTGTAACATCAGATACATCTGCTAAGAAACTGACAACCATAAAGATCTTATCTTCAGACTTCTATAAGCATTTCATTAATCACTCTGAAAAGGAAAACCATATAACTATTATACAAGATTTATACAGTATCTATTTTTGAATGCTCTTCTTTATAAATTGTCACTGCAGATATGAAAAAGGATCTCTAGTTATCACTAATTAAAAACATCAACATTTTTATTTACTCAAAAATAAAAGCCTATATCATGTCTCACTGATGTGCATACAGTCCTAAATGTGCTGACTGAATTTAAATTCTTCTACAAACATCAATGGGCCCTTCAGTAAAGTAAGAAATAAAGCAACTGGACTTTTCAGAGTTTGGGTGACTTTATTTTCTCCTACTTATAAAAACCAAAGGTTGATAATTAATCTCAATGAAAACAATGTATAATAAGATTTCGAATAATCTCTTTTCAATTTCAACCTTTTCTAAAGTTCATAGGAAAAAAATACTTCCTCCCCTTGTCAATGTGCTCATTTGAAACACGTGAAAAAAAGGAATATGAAAAACATTCCTTTTCCTTATGTCACCAAAAAGGTGCCATCTTCAACACTCTTCTTGATTATACACCAACATTCTTTTAGTTCTTTTGGATGAAAACAAAAATTTACAAAGAAATAGGTAATGCCAAAAGATGATGTTGTTTTGAAACAATATAATATCTAGTCAAAGAATACTCAGCAAAAATACAACTTCTAAAAAGAAATGTGATGGGACACTACATATTATGTTTGATTCTTTTACTACTTCTTTGAAACTAGTGTTTGAATATGTAATCCACTGAGGCACTTTCATTTATCTACCTATGGAAGTAGCTTTTACCATTTATTTATCAAAATTCAAAATCTGAGCTGGATATGGTGGTGCATGCCTGTAATCCCAGTACTCGGGAGGCTGAGGTACAAGGAGGCTAACCTTACACTGTGAGTTCAAGGCCAGCCTGAACTACATAATGAGACCCTGGCTCAAACAAAACAAAACAAAACAAAACTCAACCCAAACCAAACAACAACAAAAAATCTGCAGCCGGGCATAGTGGCACATGCTTATAATCCCAGAACTCAGGAGGCTGAGGCAGGAGGACTGCTGCAAGTTCAAGGCCAGCCTGGGCTAACTAGTGAGCTGAACTATATACCTAGCCAAAAAAAAAAAAAAAAAAAAAATCTGCAATGATTCTAAAGGCTACCTTGTATTTCAATCACACGTGATCAAAGACAAAGGAGTTCTCCATTAAACAGATTCATAAGAAAGACAAAAATACTTGCATTTCTATTTCCATCAAATTTTAAAAATGTAAAAGCAGCTTTTCTGAATATTTCTTAATTAACTATGCAAAATATTGCAGCAAAATTCTAATAAAGATCTGAAAAAATCAACGCTACAGATTTTTCTTTTATGATGCCACTTGACATTTTAACCATAATCTCTCTTATGTCTCTCTCTCTGTTTGAAGTGCATCTTAACAGGCCGGGGATTTAGCTCAGTGGTTCCACCACCTGCCTTGCAAATGCAAGGACCCAAGTTCCATCCCAGGTACCCAAAAAACAAACAAACAACTAATTGAAGTGCATCTTAATGGTTTGAGTCTACCAATAACAGTAATAATCTGGGTAAAAAAGTCAAAATTAGGGCCGGGTATTTAGCTCAATGGCACCGCGCCCGCCTTGCAAGCGCAATGTCCTGAGTTCAATCCCCAGTACCAAAAAAAAAAAAAAGAATGATACAAAAAAGTCAAAATTATACAATATACACCATTTTGTTTCCACACTTTGAATGGAAAGGAAAAATGGATATTTTCTTTAGGAAAACTTAGAACTAAGTTTAAATACCAAGTTCCCTTCAAAAGAACTGTCATAGTTCATAGCGATTTACCCAACAGATTCAAACATCTTTGAGCATTACCTTTGTATAGATATTGTGATTATATAATTAAACATCATTTTCTTTTAAAGTACACAAGAACCAAGACTCAAATATATTAAGATTATGGCTTCATGAATCCCACTGTTCCAGCCACAGCAAATTCAAAAGGCAGGTTATCCTTTTGCTTCATAATTTTAACTACGTATATGAAAAACTGACATACAACTAGATCCTGCACATTTTTGCATGGAAGTTCCAGAAATGATGAACAGCAGCTCTTCCCTCAGCATTCACTTATGAGCTGCCAAGAATAACAAAGGATGCTCCTTGCCTGGGGAATTAAACAAAGCTCCCTGTCTTCTTTCCCCTAGACACTGCGAACATCCTAAAAACAAAACAACACAAGCAGGACACAACACAGCTGGGGGACAAGTCTACTGAAAGCATCACCTCAAAGTGATTACGCAGAACCGACAGGGTAGTGTGCTGCCAAGGTGGGTAGTTCTTTGCCACATAGATGGTGCAGTGTGAGGGTCTCTGAGGTGGGTGCTTGTCAGTCTTCTACATAATAGAAAGGAAAAAACATTGCCCTTCATTAAAACAGATATGAGACTACTCCCCAATATATACTACCAATGCCTTTAACATTTAAAAATACACAAGCAGAGACAAACATGGTGCCGTACACCTGTAATTCCAGCACACTGGGAGGCTGAGCCAGGAGGATCACAAGTTCAAGCCCAACCTGAGTAACTTAAGAGACTTAGCAAGGCTCTGTCTCCAAATAAAAATAAAAATGGCTGAGTACAATGTACACAGCTCAGTACAAAGGCCCTGGATTCAATACTCAGTACTGCAAAAATTAAATTAAATTCACACAGGACTGTATTAGCAGTGGATATACACTACACATTTGAATGAAAGCAGCCTTAATTTCCATTACTGTTAAATGTTATTTGAAAAAGAATTAAGATGTGTTATGTACATGTACCAACTCCCATGATGAATATGATCATTATATAGTACAAACATGTAGTAATAAAACAGTTATCTGATCATTTTTAAGGAATAATCTTTTTTAAAAAATCTTTTTAAATGACTTCACCTTCCCTTTAGCTGGCATCATATAATTCTTGAGTCGTAATCTAAGGTCATGTGCTACTTCCATGAGATACTGTGAGGAACGAATCAAGATTTCATCCACAGGACCCGCCACAGGCCATGAAGCATTCATAATTGAGTTAGACTTTTAAAAGAACAAAAACAAAGGTTAAGTGAAATTAGTTGTTCAGTACAACTATTTTACAGTTCTTGCTTAGTTTTATACCAAGCCTCCAACTGTAACTGTGTGCTCGAAGTTTAAACCTGACTACACATATCACACTTCCACAGCCCCTGATCTAATGTTCCCTAGAATTCAAGCTGTGAAGTCTGACTCCACATTCTTAATTAGCATCCATTTGTACGAACATATTAATACCCACACACATATGCTCACTTTCAAAGAAAATTATGTAATGTTAATTTGCCAAATTTAATCATTATATAAATTATGCATACTCAGTTTTTAATCCTATTAATACAGCCAATAACCAAAGTATATCTATTCAGTATATAGATCATGAGTACATTTTTGGATCTTTCATGCACAAAAAATAGAAAACCTGGCTAGTAAGGTTGGAAAGGAGTTTTTTTTAATTTAATTTTATTGGTACATTTTAGTTATACAATATAATGACATTCATCATCAGAAATTTGTACCTTTACATAATGTCTCTTGGTTCTTATTTTTCCCCCTTCCCCTGCCCTCCCTTCAACCCCTCCATCACTCCCTATTTACAAAGACTTTGTTTCCATTTTTTCATTTTCTCATATTAATTCCATTCCCTTCTTTCCTTTCCTCTACCCCTCCCATTTCCCCTTCCCCTTTGCCCCTTTTCTTCCTATTTCACATTATCTATTATGCCTTTTAGTCCTTATTTACACTTTCAGTTTCTCACACCAGAGAAACTATTTGGTATTTACACGTGTGTCCTATTTATTTCACTTGAGTATCGCCTCAATGTGCATCCATTTAGCTACAAAAATGTCTCTAGTTTCTCGTTCTTTATGGCTGAGTAGTACTTCATTTTATTAAAAAACCACATTTTCTTTATCCAGTCTCCAGTTGATGGGCATTTGGGCTATTTCCAAGTTTTAGTTATTACAAACTGTGCTGCTATGTGCTGCTATGGGTGCGCATATATCACTGTGGTATGATTCTTTTAATTCTTTGGGGAATATACCCAGCAAGGGAATAGCTGGGTCAAATGGGACTTCCAGTCCTAGTTCTCTGAGGTATCTCCATACTGATTTCCACAGTGGTTGCACCAGTCAACTCTCCCAACAGCAGTGGAGCAGTGTTCCTCTTTCCCCACAGCCCTGCCAGCATTTGCTATTGGTTGATTTCTTGATAGCAGCCATTCTTTCTGGAGTGAAGTGGAATCTCAGCATTGTTTTCATTTGCATCTCTCCAATGACCAGTGATGTTGAGCATTTTTTCATATGTTTATTTGCTGCTTTTATTTCTTTAAGAAACATCTGTTCATTTCAGATGCCCATTTTTGGACTGGGTCTTTATATTTGGGAGATCTGACTTATTTAAGTTCTTTATAGATTCTAGATAGTAGACCTTGTCTGAGGAACAGCTGGTGAAAATTTTTTCCCACACTGTGGGTTGTCTCTTCACTCTGTTGGTGGTTTCTCTTGCTCTGCAGCCTTTTAGAAAGAAGAGATCCCACTTTTTGATTGTTTGTGCTAGTTCATGGGCAACTCAGATTTTGTTCATAAAATCTTTTCCTACACCAATGTCTTCAAGAGTTCTATCTAACCTCTGTTCCAGCCGGTTCAGCATTTCTGTTTTAATATTTAGATCTTTAATCCATTTCGATTTTAGTTTAGTGCATGGTGAGAGATATAGGTCTGTTTTTACTCTTTGGCAAGTTGAAACCCAATTTTTCCAGCACAATTAAAGAGGCTATCTTTCCTCCAGTGAGGGTGTTTGGCTCTTTGGAAAGGAGTTATTAAACCAGCCAATCTATTTATCTGCAAGCCTGGGAGAAATAATTGAATTTATCTTCACAGTAAGAAGGCTAATATAATATCCCTGAATATGCAGTCTTATACATGCCAAGAATTTTGTATAAAACAAGAATATTTATGTAATATTTATGTGGTTCTTTGTTTATAAGCAGCTTATAACAGCTGTTTATAACATTCTCAATATTTTCCCTTTTTTAGCAGTTGGAAGAACAATTATTATATAGACATTTAAATGTACTTCATTTCCCAAGAGATGAGAATTAGGTGGACAATAATAGACACATGATCACATTTTCATAATACATGCATTGGGCATTAACCAATAAAGGCACATATATGACCTGCCTGTCTTATGTAGATGTTTTAACCTATTGTAATAATTATAATGATAAATTTAGTATTATTCCTAAAATACTATGCTATTTTCAGCTTTTTCTTCTCTTAACAGAGCCAAATACAGTAAATATCAGAAGACTTAATAAAGCCAAAATTTTACACCATTACAACATTTTATTACAATAAAGGTACCTTTCCCAGGAGTGTCCAGATGTGCTCACATAAGTGTGGACAGAATGGAGCCAAGAGAAGGGTCTGAACTTCAATAAACCGGAACACAAGTTCTCTGTGCATCCCTTCTATTGCCAATTCACGGTACTTATCTTTCGCGGCCTATAAAATTTGAAATTATTTACCATTCCTTTCATTTTACTTTAAAATAAAAGAAAAAAATTCAGCATCTTGGTTTCAAAGCATTTTAGGATTTTAGTCTTTTAAAATTCTGTAATAATTATATTTTATCTTTTGAATTTGCAAGTAAATGTATGATCAATCTTTGTCCAAAGGATAGTCCAGCTTTATATTAATGATTTTTGAGAAAAAATATGTAAAAAGGCTTTCTATAACTGAAACAAAAAAGTTCAACAACTTTAACTGTGTACGAAGGGTAAATGCTCTGAACAATAAAAAATTTTTTTTTGGTACCAGGTATTGAACTAGGGACCTTATGCTTGCAAGGTAGGCGGCAGCACCACTGGGCTAAATCCCCAGCCCATATAAAATATTAAATATAAAAAAAAATACTATGAATACAACACATTGATATGCTCAGCACCTATCTTTATTTAACCACCTATCTTTATTTGTCTCTGAAAACAAAGTTACATAAACCCGATACATTTGTGACATTTTACAAAATTAATCAAGTAAAGTTGGATTCTTACTCTAACCACTTGAAAACTTGAGTAAATACTGACACCTTGTGGAAAACATGTAAAAATATTTGCTTTCAAATTAACAGCAATTAATTATAATTTTGCCTTCATTTTATCAATTTAAAAATGTTTTCCTTGGATTAGAGATGTAGCTCATGATAAAGTGCTTACTTAGCATGCACGAAGCGTTAGGCTCAATCCCCAACACCACATGCACACACATCTGGAATCTGAGGCAGATAATTAAGACTTAATCTTATTAATGCTCAAGGATCAAATGAAGAATATTTTATAATTTTTTTTATTTTTTTGTTACCGGGGATCGAACTCAGGACCTTGTACTTGCAATGCAGGCGGCGGAACCACTGAGCTAAACCCCTGGCCCCTAAATGAAGAATTTTTTTATAGTAAATGATACAAAGAAAAAATATCAAAGAAATTACTTAAGAATCACAACTTATTGAAGAACTTAAAAGCTTGGCAAGATTTTCATTCTGCATGTTAGACATACAATTATGTTATAGTAGGAATAAAAAAGGGGGAAAACACATCATATTCACTTTCACATGTTTTATACATACCAAAAGAATAGCATACCTGAAACTCAAAAAACCCTGTTTTCAAAGCTTCTTTAAACATCATTTTTTCATAGTTTTGATCTGTTTTTATAATTCCTGCATTCATTTCACTATTGAATAGGAAAAAACGTCATTGGGTTTAAAGACAATTTTATATATATGTATATATATATATAAAGCTGTTGCATATACTAATAAGTAAAATGAGAGTATCTGAAACATTTCAAATTGCTCAATACAAAGCAGTCTTTGTGCTCTTTAAAACTATTATAGTCACTCTATTGTGTATCCACCCTGAGTACTGTACCACTATCTTTTAGGGTTCCTATTTATGATAACAGTTAATAATGCATGTTTTAAAATTCCTTGATAGAAGCTTTATTATGAAGCTCAAATACAACATGAAAAGAACTTAACTAAGGTTATAGCCAGCCTTTAATTACTGCATTGTAAATAACTGATACTGGACACTAGAAAAAGATTTGCACTACCACCTCAAGCACTTCTTAATTTGGCCTATTTTGGTACCAATCTTTTTTTTTAATCTTCTACCTCTCCCCTCCACATGCTGAAAGTCAAATATCAAACCCTTTCCATGTCTTATACATGCTCTTTCCTTTTATTTATTTTTCAAGAAACCCAGAATCCATACATCTCAGAATTATCTTTATCCTTATTATTGCATTTACAATGGGTTGAATGTTTGTCTCTCCTGCTAGACAAGAATTTTGTCCATTTTTTTTTGAGACAAGGTCTTATTATGCAGTTCAGGCTGGCCTCAAACTCACAGTGATCCTTCTGACTCAGCCTTTCAAGTACTAAGAGTATAGGCTTTAAGAATTCTGTCTTACCTTTGTAACACCAGTGCTTAGGACAGCTCCTGATATGAAGAGGTTGACAATGTCTTTTGAATTTAAAAAAACTTTTCTCCATTTCTTTTAACCTACTTTTCCTTTAATCATTCTGCCCTACTCTAATACAAGACAGCCCATAAAAATGGTTATAAAAACAGGAACAGGTTTTAGAGACAGAATAACACATCCTTGTAATCCTACCTACTTGGGAGGTGCTAAGGCAGGATGATCACAAGATTAAGGCCACCCTGGACAACACAGGGAGACCAGGTCTCAAAAAAAAAAGACAAAAACAAGTTCATATCCCAAGTTTTCTTTTTTATTTTATTTTTATTTTTTATTTTTTTTTTGGTACCAGGGATCAAACTCAGGACCTTTTGCTTGCAAGGCAGACACGGTACCACTGAGCTAAATCCCCGGCCCTCCAAGTTTTCAATACTAGCTTCCAGGTATTTAGTAAAGTATTTAATTTTCCTAAGGTTCAGTTTCTTTATCCACAAAGCAGAGAAGTAATACCGTTATAAGAGTGCTTGGAGGCTAAAACCAGACAATGGATGCAAAGTATTTAGCATCATGCCTGGTACAAGTAAGTCTTCAATGAATAATAGCCATCATTATCATCTAATTTATTTTAGGGGGAAAAAAAAGACAACTCTACAAAATGTTTGGGACCCATAGATTACCTGGCAAAAACTCTATCATTGAAAGTGCTGGCAGGACCACTTCTTAGGCTGTTCCAGTTGGCAACCATTTCTTTCACCCATTCCACCCAGGTGTACAAACGGAGAATACCTGCATCTGCCATGGCTTCCACAAAGTTGGCATCTTCAACAGTGTCACCAGCATCAGCCAGAGCCAGGCGCATTCCTGAAGGAAGGGAAAAAAATATCAATGAATTAAAACACAGTTAATGAGTATCAATCGTACACCCACCTGGGTACAGTACAAACCCCAGGTATAAATTAAGAAATAACATTAGGGCGGGGGATTTAGCTCAGTGGTGCCACGCCTGCCTTGTAAGTTCAAGGTCCTAAATTCAATCCCCAGTACTGGAAAAAAAAAAAAGAAATAACAAATGTTTTAAAGTACTGTCCTAGATCAACAACAAAAATAAAATCACCAATAGCAGTAGGGTCTATAACTATGTTGCTGAAATATTTGAACCATCTGTATCAATCTGCATAGTATATGTTTCTTCTGAGTCATGTTGAGATATGAGATAAAGTAATCTTTAATGAGGCACAGGAAGAAAACGATAAATGGGATACACATTTCTTTGTGATTTCCCTATCAACATCTCAGCCTCATTTAGAGGTAGCAAAACATTATAATATTTAATGCATGAGATCACACACTGGTATCCTGTTACACAAATTATATTTAATTTCTCAGTCCTAAAATTAGGTTCTCCCAAGTTTTTTGTAAATTAAACTTTAGTTTCTTGATTCTCATTTCTTAGTACTATCAAAACTTTCCATTTGAAAATATTCTTTTTTTTTTTTTTTTGGTACCGGGAATTGAACTGGGGACCTTGCCCTTGTGAGGCAGGTGGCGGCACCACTGAGCTAAAACCCTGGCCCAAGAAAATATTCTAATAAGACTATTAAATACACTACCAGACATATCACTAGAATGAAACATTGTATTGCTGAAAAAAAAGAAACACATTATGCTCCAATATGGAATAGTCTCAATACGAACTGTTAAGTGAAAACAGCAAAGTACAGAAACAATTTATGCAGTATGCTATCCTCTGCGTCTTAAAGACAGAAGACGAGAACTTGTAACATTGAGCTAGGTGTGCATTAACTGTCTTTCAGAATATACAAGAAAGTAAAAGAACTGGCCAAGGATTTAGCTCAGTGGCACCGGAGCCTACCTCACAAGCACAAGGTCATGAGTTCGATCCCTGGTACCAAAAAAAAAAAATTTTTAGCTTTTTAAAGTAACTTCATATTTACAGAAAAAAATATAAAAAGCAATACAGAGAACAAATGTATCATTCAGCCTGCTTCATAAATGTTTACAACATATAACTACAGTATCAAAGCCAGGAAGTTAACATTAGTCCAATACTAAACCAAATGAGACCTTTTCCAATGTTTTCCTCTCTCTATTCCAGAATCCAATTCAGAATTCCACATTGGATTTAATTCTTGTGTCCCCTTACCTCTTCAAATCTGTGACAACTTCTCAGTCTTTCCTTGCCTTTCCTGACCCTGACACTTCTAATGAATACTTTTTTTTTCTTTTTTGGTACCGGGGATCAAACTCGGGTCCTTGTGCTTGCACAGCAGGCGGCGAAACCACTGAGCTAAATCCCCGGCCCTCTAATGAATACCTTTTAACAGAACTGCTCTCAACTTTATTTTTGTTCAATATTTCCTCATGATTAATTGAGGTTAAACTTTTGTAAGGGTAACACAAATAACACAAAACAGATGCTGTGTCCCTCTCAGGGTACTCTAGGAAAGTACATGATATTGGTATTACTTACCACCAGTTTACTAATCTTTATCACTTGGTTAATAAGATGGTACGCACCAAGTTTCTCCATTTTGAAACTATTATTTTTCCCTTTTTAACTAATAAGTATCTGGAGAGAAATAATCTTAAGAATATGCAAATACCCTGTTCTTCTGAAATTTTCACTCACTAATTTTAGCAACCATTGATGAATCCTGCCTATAATAATTATGATCATGTTGCTCATCTAATGGTACTTTTATATTTCACTCAGTATTTCCACATTTATTAATGAGACTTCAAAGGAAAATGTCCCTACTACCCTACTGATTTTGGGGGAGGGGGGCAGAGGGACTGCGACAGACTACATAGTTCAGGCTGGCCTTCAACTGTGTAGCCCAGGATGGCCTTGAACTTGCAGCAACCCTGCTTCAGCCTTCTGAGTGCTGGGATTACATGCCCAGCTGATTTTAGAATTTATTTTACTCATTGGATTATAATCCAGTACTATCATTATTTACTATGTTTTCTAAATTGTCCTAGCATGGGTCACTGGAAACTCCTTCCAGTTGGTTCTTGCGTCCTTTCAACATGTCCCCATCTAGGGCTTGGGGATGTAGCTCAGTGGTAAAGCACTTGCTTAGTAAGCACAAGGCCCAGGGTTCAATCCCAACCAATGCAAAAAAACAACAAATCCCCATCCTTTTTAAGCACTTCTTCATTTTCGAGATGTTCCCCATTCATTTTGTATTTTCCCTTCCTCAGCCCTTGAATTAATCACCTCTCCTAAGAGTCCTGGTTCCTTTTCTAGGAGAACAGTATCTAGAAATACCAGATTTTTGTTTTGTTTTTGAGACAGGCTCTTATTATGTAGTACAAGAATAATTACTATGGTTCTAGGAGTCACAGGTACAAAAAGATAGACTCAGAGTAGTTAGTCTTTAATAGCCAATTTCCATTCTGTCCAAGTCCATCTATCCCACAGATAACTAATCTGTCTGGTTTCTAGCTTATCATCCTAGTGTCCTTTTTAAAAATTAGTACTTGCGGGCCAGGGATTTAGCTCAGTGGTTCTGCCGCTTGCCTCACAAGCACAAGCACCGGAGTTCAATCCCCAGTACCAAAAAAAATATTAGTACTTGCATATATTTATATCTGTTATTTTACTAAGTGGCATGATAAATTAGTCTTTTGCACAGTTTACTTTTTTGATTTTGTTTTGCTGTCACTTTAAAAGTATATCTTGGCTTCTCAAGAAGCTAAGGCAAGAGGAGTCCCAAGTTCAAGGTCAGCCTAGGCAACTTAAAGATCCTGTTTCAAAAAAA